ACCCACTCACCCACCCACTCAGAAAGGGAGCCATTCCTTTGTTCCCGTCCCCCTTCCCCAGGGTTCTGTACCTTCCCAAATATTCCTCGGTCCCATGGCTTCTGAAACACATCAGTAAATCCTCTTTATGTTTCTAAAAGGCTTGAGTAACCATAGGGAAGTAGCTAGTAGTTAACGAAAATCCAGCAGGTTCTTGGTTTTCATTCAAAGGTAAGGAAGAGCTGGGGTTTAACTTTCTCAACTCCTATCAAGTCCCGGTCCATCATTCTGGTCCAAGGGCAGTCCTACCCAAATGAACATCTTTCTTTCACTTTCAGAGCAGGTGTTTCAGAAGGAAGCTCCCCCACCCCCCACCCCCTTTCCTGGTCCCTTCTCCAGCACCAAACTATGCAAATGGGCAGGTGTTAATTACAGGGAATTCCATTCCCTAACAGACTTTTTATTTACATATCAAGGAAAAGTTTCCTTAAGCCATTTCCCCTCTGGCTGATCTCTGCCTTAATCTTCCTCTGACAGTCTCAGCCTCGGACTGGAAATAAAATCAGACCATCCTTTATAACCCACCCACCCAGAAGTGACCTTCTACACACTGTTCGGTTCAGCTTATCTCTGTAATTTTTAGAATTAAACAAACTATATACAACATGGACGAGTCTAAATGCATTATGCTAAGTGAAACGATTTAGATTCAAAAGGCTGCATGTCGTGATTCCATTTACATGACATTCTGAACAAGGCAAAACTGAGGTGACAAGAAGGGGACACAAGGAATTGTCTGAAATGGTGGAATTATTATATTATCTTGATTGTGATGGTGGTGATGTGATTCTATGTTTTTGTCAAAGCTCATAGAACTGTACAGTAAAAAGGGCAAATTTTACTGTATGTAAATTATACCTCCACACACCTGACTTTTAAAAAATGACTTACACTTGCCATTCCTTTTTGGAACAAGGCAAGGCATAAATGGCTGTGAACTGTTGTAAACCTCTCACCCACCTTCGAAAGTGGGAACTGGTATTCAGGAAAGTCAGGTATGTATGTCAAAGAAGAGGGTCAGTGGTCCCTGCAAAAGGTACAACAAGGTGCCTCGTTTTGAAGGGGGTTCAGCCCATAGGAGACATTCCTTATTGATTCATTCATTTACTCATTCACTCCTTCAACAGTGTTAAACATTTCCTAAGAGGCAGACTTGGGGCAGGCAATGCAGAAATGGCTGTGGAACCATATACAGCTGCTGCCCATGAGGAGCAAGGAGTCTAGTGGTCTGTCGAGTGGGGGGCTTCAGAGAAGTAAAGAAACAGTGGCAAAACAGGGACCTTGGAGCTCTGGGGAGAGGCATCAAACCTCATCCCAGGGAATCGGGAAGCTTCTGCGAGGAAGCCAGCCTGAGTGTGAGTCAGCCAGATGGGTAGTGGGTGTGAGAACCTCCCTCCATGGGATGCACACATGTGGATGCCCAAAGGAGACAGAAAGAGAGGTACATTTAAAAATTGTAAAGCATTCATTTTGGTAGGCGCTCTGAGGCCAGAGAATAGCTTTGCTGTAGCCATTTCCTGCTCAGGGGGGTTTCTTCTTTTTTTCCTTGCTTCCACCAGTTTGAGGCCCTACGCTGAAGAACTCTGTGCTACAGAGGAGAGAAAACTGCTGTCCTAATTCAGGGCTCTCAGAAGGTTTTAAACAATAAATCTTGGCTCAACAAATTAAAAGATTTCAGATTAATTGATCAAAAGCTCCTGGGTACTTGGGCTTCTGAAATTTTCATACATTTTAACCTGGGTCTGTGATATTTTTTACATCAGTAAAAAGGCAAATTCAGTGCCAAACGGGATTGCAGCAAATAACAAGATCATCCCCAGAATCTCACATTGGAGCCCCTCGATCTGAATTGTCTCACCTTGAATCCTAAATGGCTCTATTTTCTCACTTTAGAGAGATTGTTCAGTCAATCTGAATGGACATTTCCCAGGTTTCACTGTCGGGCCAGCTTTCTGAATTATGTACAGGACAATTTCCATATTGCCTGGCTATATTTTCTTATCTGTGCCTAAAACACCTATGTCATCACTGTATCTTGTAGGGAGGGATTCCATCGTGGACCACGGATCACTGAACAATGGCTGAAATCAGCTAGAATATCTATCCCCAAAAAAGACACTATGTAGAACTCCCAGAATCATCTGGGCAAAAGCTGTGTCCACTTTGCCATTTAGGTCTGCTGTCAGATGCCCTTTGCCTGCATCCATTATGAAGCTAGCTTTATCCATTCTCAGCAGGGACTTGGCTCTGGCATTGTAGCTGCATTAATTCTAACCATTAGCGCCAAAGCAACTGGCTATTTCTGAGATTCGGGCACTGGATAAATGAAATTCCCGTGTCTCATCATTATTCTGTTGATAGTGGTAATGAACTTCAGTATGGCTTTTACTTACCCATCTTCGTACTAAATGAGGGCAGATTTGTTCTGCATAGTTATATCAGGCTGGTGCAGAATATCATTCCTTCTAAAATATTGGTATCCTGAACCTCTTTCTACACAGGAGAACCCCAGGGCCTCCTGAGATTCCCCTACCAAAGCCTTTGAGCCCCACAAACAACCCTGAGCCCTATAATCAGACCTCTGTTGCCTAATTCTCCGTCTAGATCAACAGGAAAAGATCAAGGGTGAAAGGATCCTGAAGGGGGTCCTGTCTCCAGGTGAAGAGAAACAAGAAGAGGCGTGGGAGGGAAGAATCTGCACGACTGATGGATGGAACTGGGGATTTTGTCTTCCAGGGTTATCTGTCAGAAGGCCTGGTAACAAAGTGGTACCGCTCACCACGCCTGCTCCTCTCCCCAAACAATTACACCAAAGCCATCGACATGTGGGCCGCCGGCTGCATCCTGGCTGAGATGCTCACGGGGAGAATGCTCTTTGCAGGTAAGCTGCTAACCACACCACCTTCCTTCTCCTCTGGGGTCATTCTAGAACAAGGGAGAACTGAGTGCACAAAACATGCTAGACTTTCTCTTGAAATAACCTCTGTGGCTTTTATGGCACACCTTGCAGGCACCTTACTATCATTTCAGGCAAGATTCTAGAGAGACTAAAAATAATCTCTGAGAACAGAATTTTTAAAATCAAGTAACCACTTGTATTCAAACACCTTGAGATTGACCACTGAAAATAGCCACCCTACGTTTTCAGCCCCTTCCTCCTCTCTCTGCCATTTTGAGCAGTCAGTCTGGAGTGTTCATTTGGAGAAGGAACCCACAAAGGGTTTCTAGAGTCTCTGAACTGACCCTCCATGAGCCCACTGCAGAGAGAGGCCAAAGGGACTCCTTGAGAGCAGACCCTGATGCTGTAGGCACTTTCTGGGTTGGCATTCACAGCATTCACATATGCTTGGTGCCACACAGGGCATCATGGGGGGACACAGAAGAGCCCATCCTGGGTCACTAGCTTCTGGCAAACTGGAATCCCATGGGAATCGGTGGTAAGGGGAGGGCCCTCTGGGCAGCTGGATGAGTCAGGGGGACTCCTTTAGGAAAGAAAGGCTTGGTTGCGGATTCACCGTGGTAGAGGAAGTGGAAAGGCTACTCATGCAAAGAGGGAAAATGGAAGTAATGAAAGTAAGAGTGGCCTGTAGGTCAGAGCAGGATAGCAAGGAGACAGATTTGACCCATCTCAGCAGTGCCAGAGCTCTGATACAGGGGTCAGAGTTGCCTGGGTATAGATGAGTTGAGTTTCTGAGACACATAAAGACTGATGCTTCTTACAGATGAGAAAGGTAATTAATTATTCCCAGCATCAAGCATGATGCCTGGCAGGGTAAATGTTCTCAGTAAATGATTACTCACCGAATGAATGATGCTTGACTCCATCCTGATGCACAGACATGGCATAGCCTGTCTTCCTCCCTCTCCCCAAAGGAGCACAGAGGCAGAGTGCTCAGGACACATCCCAAACCCAATTTGTTATTCCTGACTTTTTCCCCTCCTAATTGGAATCCTCCTAGTTGGAAACCAAAGGGTAAGGCTCATTCCTAGCCTTGAAATCACTTCCTTCCCCAGCCTGGTAAAGAACATGCAGAGAGGCATATGGGAAGGAGCACTTGGAAAGCCTCGGGCCAGGCTGTTCCTGTCTCTGTAGTGCTGGCTGACTCAGTCTATATAGACTGCTCCATTCCAGAGGCAGAGACATTTGACAAAGCCAAGCCCCAGAGACAGAAAGCAATCTGTTCATAGTCACGTAGCAAGTTAGAGGCAGAATGAAGACCAGAGCCCAGGGCCCCTGGCTCCCAGCCCAGTGCTGGCCCCACTGTCCTGTGCTGCCCTCCCAGACCCCCTGGAGCCACTGTGGGGCTTCCCACACCCAGTCACTTGGGCAGCACACTTGACCATCTGACATTTGCCTCCCCAGGGGCTCATGAGCTGGAGCAGATGCAGCTCATACTAGAGACCATCCCTGTGATCCGGGAGGAAGACAAGGATGAGCTGCTCAGGGTGATGCCTTCCTTCGTCAACAGCACCTGGGAGGTGAAGAGGCCCTTGCGCAAGCTGCTCCCTGAAGTGAACAGTGAAGGTACCTGAGCCCAAAAGCCAGGCCAGCATCTGGAGGTTGCACTCTGGCATCGCCTTGGGGGCGGGGCAGGTGGTCTCCTTCCAAAGTCCCTAGCCATAAAGTGAGGCACCCCAGTAGCTGACATTTTCCCTGGCTACTTCCACACTGAGGATGATTGGCCCCTGGAATTTGGCCAGCAGGTGACCCTCTAGGCAGTCATTAGTGGTCCTCCATATTCCACCCCTGATTTCCTTCCTTTTCTTTCTTGTCTTCCAAACTTGCCTCCCTCCTTCTCTTCCTTCATCCCCTTTGCTTTTTCCTTCTTGGAAGGTATGGTATGGTGCAGAGAACATGAGCTTTATCAGCTTGGGAGCCAAAGCCAGGCTCAATTCCTAGTTCCACCAGTGACTAGCTGTTTGGCCTTGGCCAAGTTTCTTAACTTCTCTACATCTCAGTTTCCTTGACTATAAAATGGGTATAATAATACATATCAGATAGGGTCGTTGTGACAAGTAAATAAAACAGAATTTGTAAAGCCCTGGGCATAGGAGAGTTGCTCTGTCATCTTAGATGTTACATTATCATTGGGCCTCATACCTGTCAGAGGCCTCCTTAGGAAGCCTCTACAGCCAATTGTGAGAGACCCAAATTCTCAATGGCTCAAATAAGATTTAATTCTTATTTAAGAAAAAAGAAATTAAAAATTTATTTCTCACCCAGGATGGTGTGGTTCAGTGGTTAGAGTATCCGTCCATGGACTAAAGGGTCATGGGTTCAATGCCCGGTCAAGAGCACATACCTGGGTTGCAGGTTCATCCCTGGCCCCTGGTTGGGGCATGTGCAAGAGGCAACCAATCAATGTGTCTCTCTCACATTAGTGTTTCTCTCTCCCTTTTCTCTCTCTCTCCTCCCTTCCCCCCCTCCCTTCCACTCTCTCTAAAAATCAATGGAAAAAATATCCTTGGGGAGGGTTAACCAAAAAAAAAAGAAGTTTATTTCTCTCATATAATAATCCAAAAGCAGGCAGTCCAAGGCCAATAGTGAACCTGCTCCACTGTCATCCAGGGACCCAAGGTCCTTCTGTCTTGTTCTGCCACCATAGGGTGTTGCCCCTACTTCCTGGAGGAAGGTGAGGAAGGAGGGTGGGTCCCTTGCCCTTCAGGTCATGAGCCAGAATTTGTACACCTTACCTCCTGTTGGCCAGAACTTAGTCACATGGCCCCACTTCGCTGCAGTGAAGGCTGTGAAATGGAGATTTCATTCCATGACACTTTGTGTCTATTATTATGAAAGAGGGGAATAGGCATGGGGTACACACTAGGAGTCTCTGTCACAGTCCTCCCCATCAAGAAACCAAGAGCTTGGACTAACAATGTCTTTGGCCATGATCGCCATTCAATCAGGTAACTGCCTCAGTTTCCCCATCATTAAAGGGGAGGAAGGGTTATTTGATTCACCATAAATTAAGACTCAGCCATCCATATTTATTTTGATTCCTAGGCCTCTGTAGAAACCCCACCATGTGACAAGAGGTGCATTCACCTCTCAAGAATTCTGGATCAAGAATGTGTCACCCATGTCCCCTCCCCCAAGCAACCACACAGCAGTCCCAAGTGGTGACTTGGCTCTGAGAGGGGTGGGCCTGGCCTCAGCAGAACCACAACTGGTGCCTGATAGAAGATAAAGTTCCTCACTGTCATCAGCAGCATCAACCCACATTCATTATATCACCCTGGCTAGAGAACTGTGCTAGGAATGGAAATTCAAAGAGACAGAAGAGCTAGTCTAGCTGGGAAGACAGGGAATACCCATCAGAGATGAGACCGAAGATTAAGGAACATGTTCTAAGGGGCCAGTGAGAGCTCCTGGCACTTGGGGAGGGGGAAGAGCCACCAAGTGCTGAGAGGGACAGGCTGGCCCAGAGGAGTGGTGATGGCTCAGATCAGCAGGATGAGTCACAAACCTGATCGTACGACATGAAGCTGAAGAGGTAAGAAGGACCGAGGGCTTCGAATGCCCAGCTGATGAGTTTGGACTCAATCCTGTAGCTGAACAAATATTCACTAAAGCCAGGCTTACTGCCCCGTCCCATCATGCCAGCTTCCTCCCAAAATTCTCCCATCTGCCTCTGGCCTTTAAATGTACCCTCATTCAGCCTCAGGGTAATGAGGTACCACTGAGATGGAGTATTGGTAGAAGAAAGGGCATTCAAGCCCACCTTCCTAGGAGAGCCAGTGGGTGACCCCCCGTTCGCTCCCTCTGCTATGCTTTCGAGGCCCTGCAGACCTGGGAAGAGGTAGGGGGTCTCAAAGGATACAGTCTTGGCGACCACGTCCCTCAGCAGCTGACAGAGCCACCATGCCACAGATGCAGGACAAAGGAGGCAGGCTCTGAGACCACACAGTTCTGAGCTCCTTTACTACAAGAAATAAATAAACCACCAGTGACAAACTGAATTAGGAAACCTAATAATTTATGAAACAGGTGAAAGGAGTGCTCTGGGCGAATCAGGGCCTCAGGGCCCTGCCTGCCCATCTGCCTCTCACCCTCCAGAGATGCCCCTGAGAATCCTTCCAGAACCTCTGGGGTTCTGAGGATTCTAGTCGAGAATCCACTGGGCTACAGGAGGGTGACAGAAGCCTCCTTATATTAGAAACACCTTAAAAACACCTGGGGACTCTGAGCCCAGAACAAAAAGGAGTTGGAAGAGGGAGGGTATGGTGGTTCATGAGTTAAGGTAAAGCCACTGCTGGAGCAGATAAACCTGAAATCCCATGGCTTACCCTGCAGCAGTGTAGTCACCACTGACCTCAAGTCCAGACAGAGTAGGGGAGCCTGGACGGTTTGCCCGGGACCCAGGCCATGAGAGTGGCTGCCAACTTCAACACATAGCTTTCAAAGTCCCCCTGGGCACCAACTTCCAGCTGAAGCCGAGGGAAGAGAAAGCTGAGACTCTTGCAGGAGGTTTTTATGGATCAGACCCGGAAATGGGGTCCACACATCACTTCCACCCCCATTCCATGGCCTCCATCACACAGCCACATTTAACTGCCGGGGCGGTGGGAGACAGGCCAGTGTGTGCCAGGTGGAAAGGGGGCTTACATGGGACATGACTGCTGCCTTAAGCATGAGAGTGGCAGGCATGGGGAAGAGAGAATGTGCCAATCTGGGGGGACCACAGAGGGCAGAGCCAAGCTCAGGGGTGTAGGTTGAAGGGGACAGATACAGGTTTGACAAAGAAAGGATTTTCTAATATTAGGGCTTCCCAGAAGTGTCTGGGCATCTGCTAGAGGACAGCTGTTAGGAAGAGGAAAGAGGAGACGCTCATCCTTACTAGTTAGCGGAGGAGCCTTGGGGTCTGCACGGTCCAACTTCAGGGTTCTCTGGGTCTTTTTTAATAATGACCATAATGGTGATGATGCCTGCTGTTCAAAGCTTTAACTCTCTATTTCTTTGCCAAAAGATCCAGTGTCATACGGTGGGGCGAAGGGAGGGACCCGAGGCCCAAAGAGGGAAAGACTTGCCCAGCCTGGAGCTGGGCAGTGGCAGAGCTGGGCTGAGCTCTGCAGTGCCCGATCCTTTCCAGTCCTGGGAGCCTGTGAGGCTGATCCTCTTTCAGGTCTGCAGCCCTGGCCCAGAAGCAGCCCCTGAACCCCAGTGTATTAGGGGATGATCAGTTACTGCTGTTTCACTGATCTCTCAGTCTAAGGTTACGGAGCAGCACCGTGTCCTCCCGGGAAGCCAGTGACCTTCAGAATCCATCAATTCCCTGAATCATTGATGAATTTTCCTGCAAAGAGATCCAGAGCTGGGGTGAGGGGCAGGGTAATGGTGAGGCTAAGGCCCACATGGGAGGCCCTCCGAGGGGACAGCAGCTTAGGTCTTAAGCTCAGCTACATTCCTCCCTCTGCACTTGGGCTGTAACATAATTAGCCAGGTCATGATTTAAGTGGAGCCCCCCAGCACTGAGAAGTAATGCCATCCTCCAGATTAGACCTTGCCCTGAGATAACACAGCACTGAGCCCACAGGGCAGATGGTTAACCCTGTCCTACTTAGGACAAAGAGCGTCAGTATCTGTGCCCAGAGCCAATGTTCAGCCAGTGCACACCCAGAACACCTTACTGAAACCTTAATATACTTTCATGTTGGCTGGCAAATAACTACTGACTGCTCAAGGCTTCTGAGTGTCCCTTCCTGTCCCCATGTTCCAGATGCCAGGACCTCCCCTTGGTCTAGCCACTAAAAGGTTTCTGCCTGGCACAGCAGGAGGGCTTTAGCCTGGTGGTGAAATAGTTTGAAGATCTAGCCTACCTGCCTTTATTTGTCAAACTTCCAAAGGCAACATATAGTAGGAAGAGCTCTAGGCTATCAGGCCCTGTCCCACCCGCCTCGCCTCCACTGATCTTTCTTACTGAGGCTTTTTACTGCTGGCACCTGAGGGAAGCAGGCTCCTCCACCCACCCCAGCAGTGCTCAACCCAAGACAAATGGGAACAGGTGTAGAGATACCCCAGCAAGCCCGGTAAGTGAAGTCGCCTCTCAGATGTGTTCCACACTGCCTCCTGGAGAACACCAGTGGAACTGAGCCCCAGGTGCCCACAGGAGGAACCTGTTCATAGGCACATCCTCTACTGGCTTCTTTCCTATACCCCTCCCAGTGCATTTTCAGGGATCACCGCCATATAACTACCTACACCCCAATCCTTGTCTCTGGAGAGATCCAGCCTGAGGCAGAGTTCTAGCCCTAGACCTCCTGTAACCAACCATGACCTTGAGCATGTCCCTTTCCACCTCTGGGCCTCTATTAGATTTGTGAGGTCAAAAAAGCAGCACCTGCTCCAAATTTGTCACTGGTGAGGATCATGAGAAAGAAAATGGCTAAAAACCTTTCTCCAAACAGAAAAGCAAAAACACCCAGGAATGTCACCATGCTGAGGGGTCTCCTTCTCAGGGTGGCAGCGGCAACAAATGATTTTCATGTCCTGCTCTGCTCCCACAGCCATTGACTTTCTGGAGAAGATCCTGACCTTTAACCCCATGGATCGCCTAACAGCTGAGATGGGGCTACAGCACCCCTACATGAGCCCGTACTCATGCCCCGAGGATGAGCCCACCTCACAGCACCCCTTCCGCATTGAGGACGAGATTGACGACATCCTGCTGATGGCCGCCAACCAGAGCCAGCTCTCCAACTGGGACAGGTGTGATTCCAGAAGTTTCCAGCCCTGGAGCCGAGAGCCCACATTCCTGTCCTCCCATTTCTATTTTGCCTCTGATTCTTTGTGACCTTTCCCTCTGTCTCCCTCGTTGTATAGCCCAGGGGTGCTTTCCCCAACTTACCTTCCTGCCTTCCTCTCTCCTGTCCCCTGACACTCCCAGTATAGGACCAGCCTGTCTCACATGTATGGCTCAAGGGCCCTCCTTTGTGCAACACAGCCACCACCAGCAATGTTCCACAGCATTGAATGAGTACCCACTGTAGGAACTGACTTCTAGTAGGCTGGGAATTTGCCCTGGAGAAGTAAACTGCAGCAATACAAGGCAAGAAAACTGAAAAATTTACCACTATACAACATGTTCATGTGTCCATATCATTCACACCTCCACAGAATGCCATTACTGGTATTGCCCATTGACACATGAGGAAGCCACAGTTCAGACAGCCTAGAGACTGGCATTGTGTCACATAGCCAATATTTGGCCCATCTGGGGTCCTCCCCAATCTGCATCCATGTCAGACACTGCTAAGCGATCATAGGACTCTCCTGCTAAACTGGGCCGAACATCAGAATCCTTCTCAACACAGTTGGGTAGAATATACTTTTTAAAGAAGGTACTTTCTTTTAAAATGTTTTTATTGACTTTTAGAGAGAGAGAAGAAGAGAGAGAGAGATAAACATCAACGAGAAACATCGATTGGCTGCCTCCTACCAGGGATCGAGCCCACAACCCAGGCAGGTGCCCTGACCGGGAATCAAACCGGTGACCTCTTGGTGCATGGGTCAATGCTCAACCATCTGAGCCACACTGGCTGGGCTAAAGAAGATACTTTAAAAAAAAGATACTTTAAACAATCTCCCCATAGGTAAGGCATATAATGGTCTCTTAGGTCCCTTCCTATTCTGACGGTCTTAAATTATGCAACTAAACGTTTGGGCATCACCATCTGCTGTTTTGGGGAGTGACAGCTGATAGCTGCTCAGTTTAGTAATAAAGTAGAGGGCTTAGCAGCTAGGACTCCGAGGGGTCTAAGTGGGAGCCCCACTGTTGTGAGGATGTGACAGCTAGTTACATAAGTGACAGATAAGCAATTTCTCCTTTTCAGTCATTTGACAGATAATGGATTTCAGATTAAGGAGGCACCAAGGGAAGGTCAGTGCCACGCTGCTATTTGGGACAGGTTTATTGGTTTGTCTGCGTTGACCGTTGTTATCAAGAGTTGCCAGCAAAAAGAGATTAATGAAGACTCTTCTGCCACCCCCTGTGCTTGGCCTGCCCTTGACTGTGGTCCCTGCAGCCCCTCCTCCACGCCACAGCATTTGGGAAGCTCAGCGAGGCTCATCCCATGCTAATCACGGCTATGGCATGGGGCTGGTGCCAGGAAAAGCTGTAGCAGGGTTTCTTTGGCCACTGCCCATCAACCCTGACTACTTCTAAACCTAGTGCAGCTCAGCTCCCAACCTTTCTCATCATACATTCGAGAGGGAGGTGAAGGACAAACCCCTTCCTAGAGGCCCTGCTGCTTTGGGTAAACTGCTTAACCTCTAAACAGCAGTGTCCTCACCTGAGGCCAGTGATAACACTGAGTCCACAGGGCTGCCATGAAGTCTGCAACTTACGTTTGGCCCTTGGCATGTAGCAGTCAAGCATTAGGGTCTTCACAAATTCTTCCTCCTAGAAATATCTGCAGTTTTGAAGACCCACATGGGAGGAGGTAGTGTCCACCTCTGGGAGTGACGCCTGTCCTAATGGCGTCAATGGGAGGGTGGGCAGTGTTGGGGCCTTCCCGTGCCTCGCAAACCATGTCGTGCGAACTCTCTCTGCACATCTGCCCTTTCACGCAGCCAAACCTGCCAGTCCTTGGGGTGTTGGTTTCTCCTGTGTGAGCACTAGCCCCCCGTTTTGTCATCAGCTGGCTGCTGCCTGCTGCTTCCTCCGTGCTCCCTGCCTTACCCGCCCCTCCCCCAAAGGTTCTGCTTAGAGCACCTGGCCCAGCCTGAGCTGATGGCTGGCCCTCCTGCCCACCTGCCCTTCGTTTGCTCTTGGCTAACTGACTCTGCTTTCTAAGGCTGCAGGCAGCTGACAGAGGGCAGAATTCCAAGGATCTCTGGCCTTGCCTTCGGTGTCCATAATCTTTCTGTAGGCCCCACCTACTCTGCATCTATGCATGGTGCTGCAGGGCATCCAACCAGACCTACTAGAGCAGGAGTTCTCAGCCCTGGCTGTACCTTAGAATCACCTGGGGAGGTTTTAAAACCATGCTGATGCGGGACTCCACCCTAGACCTACTGAATTGGAATTGGGGGTGTAGGGCAGGCATAGGATTTTATTTTTAATTCCCTCAGGTGATTCTAATGTGAGCCAGGGCTGAGCAGTACTCATTAGGGCCCTGCTATTCAAAGTGTGGTCCCTGGACCAGCAGCAGCAGGTGGGAACCTATTAGAACTGCAGCACCCAAGGCCTCAGCTCAGATCTACTGCCTGGAGATCTGCATTTGAACAGGGTGATTTGTGTGCACATCAAAGTTTAAGGAGCACTGCATAGGTGCACCCACTGGAAAGTAAGTTCATGAGGACAGGGATTTTGTTGTTTTGTTCACTGCCCTGTCTGATAATGTCTAGAACGGTGCCTGGTACAGAGCGGGTGCTCAAGAAATATCTGTAGGGCATCGAATGAATACAAAAGAATACAAGAGTTAAGTAAAAACGGTCCCTCACCCTGAGCCCCGGAGGCTCACCATCACCTTACCCCATCACCCTCCCTCCTTGGAGCGAGGTGGGGCCAGAAGCTGGAGGGCCTGGGCTGGGGATCCAATCACCGTTCCCCCTGTACCCTCGCAGGTACCCCGTGAGCCTGTCGTCAGACCTAGAGTGGCGGCCCGACCGGTGCCAGGAGGCGAGCGAGGTGCAGCGCGACCCGCGCGCGGGCTCGGGCGCGCAGGCGGAGGACGTGCAGGTGGACCCGCGCAAGGACTCGCGCAGCAGCTCCGAGCGCTTCCTGGAGCAGTCGCACTCGTCCATGGAGCGCGCCTTCGAGGCCGACTACGGGCGCTCCTGCGACTACAAGGTGGGGTCGCCGTCCTACCTGGACAAGCTGCTGTGGCGGGACAACAAGCCGCACCACTACTCCGAGCCCAAGCTCATCCTGGACCTGTCGCACTGGAAG